GATAATCTATATCGCCATTCTTATACCTTTCACATTAATTATTTAAGCGACTTAAAATTCAAAAAACCCTTAAAGGATGGCTAGTCTTCATATGATTTACGTGGAAATTCTTTAAACCTATATATTTGATAATGAAGTAAAATAGATTAGAATATATTATTGAAAATAAATAAAGCATATATTTTAATATGTAATAGATTTACTATATTGTCGCGAAATAAATTCAAAATTACACTAAGCGTTATTTTGCGACAGTATGGTATATAATACAGTTTCGTAGTGTATAAAATTTTTTATATACAGATTCAATAAAATTTCTTTCTTTATAGAAATCTCTCAAAATTAAAAATCACTATTGAATCATTATATATTAGCTATACTATTTTTTGCTTGTAATGCAAGATATGCGTAGGCTTTTAGCACCGGTGGTGCTTTTGACTGCAAAGAGAGTGTTTTTGAAATGTAAAGTACCTCTGGGCTTTCTGTCTTGCGGCATAAAAACCAATGTTGATCATACGTGGTAATTATACCATATAAGAGCCGATTTCTTACCATGTAACCATACGTTTGTCGGACTACCATCTTAGCTTTTTCGCTTGTTTTATAAAATTCTGACAGTGTTTGTTCGCCCATTTTTTCGAATACATGCATCCTTTTAACTTCAACTAACGTGATCAAATCGTCGTTATGGTAACAAGTAAAATCCGGTTGGCCGACGCGAGGTTTCCTGGTTGAAAAATCGTAACCTTCCATTAAATCATTTAATACAGTGTTGATATTGGCATTAACTGCCTCGCAGACATTTGATTCATTGAATAACACCCTATTATAGTAAAATTCAGGCTTTTGGAATATAAATTGTCCTTTATCAAAGATGTGCCCATCGCTCTTTTCTAGGAAATCCTCCCATAGATGAACCTCTTCCGGTAGTTTGCCATTCGCTGATGTCGTACTGCTTGATGAGCAAGCAAATGATGAGTATCTGAGGACCGGTGGAATATGG